CCCGGCCGCCGCCCCCGGCGCCGCACCTTCCAGCGCAGCCCCAAGAACCGGCCCCTCGCTGCGCCCGCGCCGCACCTTCCAGCGCAGCCCCAAGAACCGGCCCCTCGCTGCAGCCGCGCCGCACCTTCCAGCGCAGCCCCAAGAACCAGCCCCTCGCGGCGCCGGCAGCAGCAGCCTTCCCCCTCCCAGAGCCTGCCTTCTCTACCAGCTTCTAAATCGGTTTTGAAACAGATGCAACAAAGCCAGTTACACTCTGTACAGTATAAGCATTTATAGTTTTCTGCAGTTAACTTTCTTATGGTCTTTGTGAGGATTGACTCAAAAAAATGTCCAGTTTTATAACAATGCAAGAGTGTTTTTTTCTTATTTTTTCAGTTTAAATTGCTAAGCTCTGCTCTTTCACAGGACGCACATTTCCAACACATCCATACTTCTCAGCACAGCTGGGAGCGGGGCAGCTGTCACTCTACAATATTCTGAAAGCCTATTCCCTCTTGGACCAGGAAGTAGGATATTGCCAGGGCCTTAGCTTTGTAGCAGGTGTTCTACTACTTCATATGAGTGAAGAAGATGCATTTAAAATGCTGAAGTTTCTCATGTTTGACATGGGCCTGAGAAAACAGTATCGTCCTGACATGACTATTTTACAGGTATGGTTCCATTTCTCTGATAACAGGATGCTAATGCTAAATATTAATGCAATACAAATAGGATTGTCAACATGTGCACTTGAACTTACATTCAGTAGTCAAAAGTGAAGAGGATAATCTGCAAAAAGGATGTTTCATCTTAAATGCATCAGTTTCAAATAAAAAGAGGCTCCCGGGGAAACAATGAAACCTGTGAATAGCAAGAATCCTGTCATATGCTGTATGAGAGTCAAGTGACCCTGCAGGTGTACCTGTTGCAGGCTCCTAGGTGGGCTATCCTGGGTCTCTGAAATGGCTCTTGAATCTCTTTTCTTCACAGAAGTCAGCCTGAATATTCATTGATAAGTGCATTGATAAGCACTGTTTCTAGTAAGAATACAAAGCATTGACTTTGCTACTCTGTTAAAACCTATTTACTTTTAGTCTGTATTCCTCATCCATGCAGATCCAGATGTATCAACTGTCTAGACTTCTTCATGACTACCACCGAGATCTCTACAACCACCTAGAGGAACACGAGATTGGTCCCAGTCTCTATGCTGCTCCATGGTTTCTCACCATGTTTGCTTCTCAGTTTCCCCTCGGATTTGTGGCCAGAGTATTTGGTAATTCCTCCTAAAACTTCTATCTCTCTTTTAGAAACTTAATATTCAAAATCCTGCTAGTAGACACCCAGGAGAAATATTTAGTATATGCTGTTGATGAGTAGAATTAAAACAATAGAAGGCATCCAATGGAAAGCTTTGTATTTGTGGTAAAACAGAGAGCAAAGGAGGGCAAGGGAGGCTTCTGAATCTTCATTGCTACTTTTTTGTACCCTTTAACAGTTCTTAGGAATGATGTAAGATTGTGTGCCATGAAGGCAGAGTGTTGAGACCTTAACACCTGGAGTTAGTTAACTTTGAGCTGGAAAGAAATGCAACTGAAGAATCATCTGAGAAACAAATCCATTTATTAAATCACTGCCTCAAACAGTGTCGGGGAAAATGATTTTGAGAATTATGGTTCTAAAACATGCACATGCACACACTTATATTTAATCATTACTCTTCAGAAACATGGGGGTTTTAAAACAGTGTTTGCTATCCTTGCATTTTTACCCTGAAATATAATCTCTTCACTTTCTGGAAACTGTAAAATGATGGGAAATATATGGTCTGTCAGTTCCAAGGTCACCTATTCTGCCAATTTTTTTGAATCTACAGAAGTCACATTCTCTGTGTCTCTCTCTCTCACGCTTTCTCTCTGTGTCTCTGTCTCTTTTTATTATTAAAATCCTATTACGAGTTTACCTCAATGCTATTTTCTGGGTGGGTATTTCCGTTTTTTTGATATTTGAGAGGAGACTTTTTTCTTTTCAGTTTTCTGTTTTTCAGTTTTCCTGTGTGGTACTGGACCTTCAGTTGACAGCATGATGAATTGGAGCTCTCTCCCTGCTTTTTGTCTTCAAATAGAAAGCTATTTGCATTCTTCTTAATCGTTCTTATTTCAGAAATTCAAAGAGGCGATGATTTATTAGGGCATTAATATTGACGCTTTCTTAGCTTATAAAATTATGGTCTCATCTACCACAAGAACCAAAATATATAGAGAGAGATTCCAAGAAGAGCTAAGAAGAATCCAGTCCTGTTTCTGTTTAGGGTCTTGCCAGAAATAGTGTTACAGGACTTCACTAGTGATAAAAGGGTTGTGTGCTAAGCAGACCTACAAGATTTATAATTAACATCTTAACTCCAGGGGAAACAGATTTTCTTTTTTTTTTTTTTTTTTTGAGGAATGGTGTTAATATTCTGTGAAGGTTAACTTCACACTGACAGGTACCTAACTGAGAGTGAGTAATTATCTACAGGAATTAAATGAAGTGCTGTATGCATGTGCCATATACAAAGTTTATGATTGGTTTTCTTTCAAACATTCATTATCATTTATAGTATTGTACATGCTAATAAGAGTCTTCGGACTTTTGACTCCAGTGAGACACATGAGAAAGTGCTTTGTGCATCCAATATACTTGGACTTCTGCCTTAATACACACTGGTTAGTGTTTTTTTCTGTCACTGCAGGTGACAGAGGATTGTAGAGCTTTAGAAAGCAAAGCTTTTAGATCAAAATAGAGAGCATAGATACATCCACGATCTCCACAGAACTTATTTTAGGTCAGGAACAGAAGAGCACATGTAACTGAAGCCATCACCTCTGATCTCTGTCAGAATTTAGTGTCACCAACATTTGCAGTTTTTTAATGTTTCAAAGTATTTGGCGATCTCTTTAAAACCAAATTTAATGGAAGTAAGCAATTAGATGAGAATATAAACTGTAATTCTTTTAGATTCAAAAAGTGATTTCACCCATGGTAAAGACTCTGAAAAAAACAACAACAAAAAAACAAACCCTCAAACCTTAGAAAGGCTGGAGCTGTCACTCTGTCAGGCTGTGGTTTGCAGTGCTGCAGTTGTCACTCTGTGAGGCTGTGGTTAGCACTACGGCAAAAGATACCATGAGCCAAGTAGTCCTGACCCACCTGTTGGTGCATTTTTGCTCACCACAACATGTCTTTTCACTGCTCACTTGTCTGAACTTGAGAGGAAAAAATGTTGCCCTTAGTAACACCAGTCCAAGTTACTCAGGCTATTAATACAAACAGAATGTGCTGCCATCTTCTACCTGCCATGTTATGTGTGAACTCTTAGGGTTTTTAAGCCATATTACTATTTAATAATAGAGCTATTACAGAATACCTCCTTTAGATTTCCATAGAGCTTACTGTTTTTCAAGTATATTTATTTATTTTTTATATGCAAGCAATATATAGCAGCAGAAGAAAAAGAAGTTAAAGAAGATAAGTTAACCTGAAGACTTTGTTGTGAGGCAAATAGCAAAACTACTTTTACTCTTTAATTACATGTCCAAACTTTCTGCACTTCTCAGTTGAATCTAATACAGGATGACAAAGATCTGGTCTTAAATGCTCCCTATGTGCTTAGTAGTAGAGGAGACTTGGTAGGATAATGTTTATTCAATTCCAAGATTGTAGATAACACTTGACTTCAAATCCCTGGCCTGCCAGTCAATGCTGACAGTAATTCAGGTGCCTTCACTGTACTGCTCTTGGTGGGCAGCCCGCTTCAGGCAGGCCCTGGGCATGGGTAACAAACGGGTCTTTGTCAGGGACTCTCTTTTTCAAATAAGAGAAGGATTTCAGACGTGTATTACCAGCTCAGCTCATACGTCATTCAGTAACAACTTGTAGGTCACCTTGAGTTAATCTACATGGTTGTGTGGAGCAGGTTTTGAGTCATAAATGTGTGTTATTCTCAGGTGCATTTTCAATTTTGGTTCCTATCTCTTCCTTAGCATTCCTTGTCTAAAAAAAAAAAATAGTTTCCCTATAATGCATTTTCGTATTTAGGCAGTTTCAGTTGAGGTACATGTTCACTCTGTTAACACTTTCCTACCTTTGATCTTCATGTTGAATCAGCACTGAAATGCTTTGCACCACCTTTAGGATGAAGGTTTTTTTTTTTTTCCCCGCCCCCCCTTCCTCTTTTTTCCTTTTTTCCTTTTTTTTTTTTTTTTTTTTGACAATTAAGACATACCACATCATCATGTTACTTTAAGTCTTTGCAATTTCATTCACCACTTCAACAACAGAGAAGGGATATACGAGGATGATCAGAGGCCTGGAACATCTGCCCTATGAGGAGAGGCTGAGGGAGCTGGGCCTGTTCAGCCTGGAGAAGAGAAGGCTGAGAGGGGACCTGATCAGTGTCTATAAGTACCTCAAGGGAGGGAGTGAGGAGGATGGTGCTGGCCTCTTTTCCCTGGTGGCCACCGACAGAACTAGAGGAAACGGCCGGAAACTGAAGCATCAAAAGTTCCACAGGAACTTAAGGAAAAATTTCTTGAGTGAGGGTGACGGAGCACTGGAACAGGCTGCCCAGAGAGGTTGTGGAGTCTCCTTCTCTGGAGATCTTCAAAACCCACTTGGATGCAGTCCTGTGCCACCTCTGAGTGTGCAGGGTGGTTGGACTAGATGACCTTCAGAGGTCCTTTCCAACCTTAAGCATTCTATGATTTATAAAATATTTTATAAATTATTAAAAATAAAATAATGTAATAAATATAATAAGATGTGTTTATAATAAAATATTTATTATTATATTAATTATAATATAATAACAATATAAAATTTAGGAAAAAGAGTGTGTTCTCCTCCTTTTCCCCCTCCATCAGTACCTTTTTATATTCACTAAATACTTTTGCTTGTAGTAAGTCCCTCAGTAAAGTCATGAGTAGAGTAATAGGAAAGTCAAAACTGCTGCTTTTGGTCAGGTGGATTTGTGAACAATATTCTTCATTAGTGACATCTATATCTCGCTAAATAACTTTGATTATGCTAGTTACGTGTACTATTCAAACTTGAATTCATTAGTAATAATTCTGATGCTCTGTGATTTTTAAAACCATAAAAGACAGTAAGAAAAGTACCTGTTCGGCAGAATATCTCTCTAGCCCCTTGATCTACCTTATAAGAAGTTATCATCCTTGGACTTTTTATTGCTTTAATATCCTTGACAAAGATTTGCTTGCTTTATCTATTTTGTTTTTTGTTTTCACAGATATGCTGTTTCTTCAAGGGTCAGAGGCTATATTTAAAGTTGCCTTAAGCCTTTTGGGAAGCCACAAACCCTTGATTCTACAACATGAGAACCTAGAAACTATAGTTGATTTTATTAAAAGCACTCTTCCAAACTTGGGTTTGGTACAGATGGAAAAGACCATTAGTCAGGTATGAAATAATCTAAACATATGAGTAGTAGTCTAAAAAAATGACACCCTTTTTAATAAGAGCTTTTTGTTGATAGAAGAATCACAAGGAATTGAAGAATGGATTGTGTTATTTCCATCTGAGAAGATTCTGATTTTGTAGTTTTAAAAATGTTGGATTTTGGGGGGAAGCCCATGACTTATATAGTACACCTCTATTCTAACATGTCATTTTATAGAGTCTTCAGTGGCAATTGCAGCTTACTTTTTGAAGTGTATGTGTAATGTATAATATATATAAATGTATGTGTCCAGTGTAATATTGACAAGAAGTTTTAGTCCATATGTAATACATGCCATAAGAGAAGCAGCAAAGTGGGCTAAAAGCCTTCTGGGCTTTCCTGGTTCACAAGAATTTTCCTCTCGGGATGTGATTTCAGAAGCAAAAATTGGTATACAGGATTGGTGTACAAGTCTCATAAATGTTGACTTTCTTTAACCAAATTAGAGGCCTTTCTTCATTCTTTTTTTTTTTTTTTTTTTTTTTGGCTGTGCTGGCTTTTATGGTGTTAGTTCAGTATGTCAGAGCGGTGCCTTTGCTCTTCCAGAAATAGAACATGGGGGCAGTACAGCCTTGTAGAAGGCTGTGATTCCTCAGAGCAAAGACCTGGCATGAATTTAAAATTTTAGCGAGCTAAAACGATGTAATGTTGCTAAGCGTAAAGGAGGCACCAGAATTTACCTGTGGGTTTAAAAAAAAAAAAGACTCAGATCATTGCAGTTAAGAGCTGCCTGACTGTTTTACTTGAAAGATCCAGCTGTAACATCTAATTTGCAGCTGTCAAATAGAAGACTTCTTTTAGTGTGTTTTTGCAGAGGCTCCTGGTGGCCTGCAGTAGCAGGGGCCGTGCTGTGCTGGTTGCAGACGCCTGCCACTCACCCGGGCTGGAGGGTCTGCACAGCCTGTGTCTGCGGACAGAAGGGCAG